CTCCTTAGAAACTCTCGAAATCATAATGTGAAAGGTCACAGCAGAGAACCAGACATAACACAACACCACCAAGAGAACCTATCACTTTCCCCAAACCTGAAGACTAGGTTTTCTGATGTGTCCAATGAAGTCCCAGAAACTGTAACTTCACTAAAATTTCTGTTTAAACAGAAGAAGAAAGAAGAAGGAAGAAGGAAGAAGGAAGAAGGAAGAAGAAGAAGAAGAAGAAGAAGACCCCATTCTTTAGATTTAGAGTCTTCAACTACAAGAGTATCACGGTATTGTTCTTAGGTGCCATCAAGTCAGTTCTGACTCATAATGACCCTATGTACAAAAGAAAATCACTGCGTGCTCTTACAACATACTCACAATCTTTAAGCCCACTGTCACAGTCACTGTGCAAATCCAACTTGTTGAGGGTCTTCCTCTGCTTTGATGACCTTCTACTTTACCAAGCATGATGTCCTTTCCCAGAGATTTGCCCCTTCTGATAACATGTTCAAAGTACATGAGACAATGTCGTGCCATCCTTGCTTCCAGGAGTATCAAAATGTTATTGTTTTCTTAAGCATTGTAGACTTGGCTCTAACTCACAGCAACGCTGTATAGGGTTTCTGAGGAACACCTGGTGGGTTTGGAGTAGGTGGTGGATTGGAAGCACCCACCTTCCAGTTTAGAAGTCCAGTGCTTATCCTACAGTGCCACACCAGGACTAAGCAGGACTCAGAGTATCATGTTGTTGTTATTGTTAAGTGCCATTGAGATGGTTCTGACTCGCAGCAACTCTATACACCACAGAATGAAACACTGCTCAGTCCATCATCACAATTATCATACTTGAACCCATCGCTGCTGTCATTGTACAACCCATCTCATTAGGGGTCTTCTTCTTTTTCTCTGACCTTCTACTTTACCAAGCATAATGTTCTTCTTCAGGGACTAACCCCTCCTGATAATATGTCCAAAGTATGAGATGAAGTATCGCCATCCTGGCTTGTAAGGATCATTCTGGCTATACTGCTTCCAACACAGGTTTGTTTGTTGCTCTGGCAGTCCATGATACGCTCAGCATTCTTCTCCAACACTATAACTCATCGTTGTTGTTGTTGTTATGTGCTGTGGAGTCGGTTCCAACTCATAGCGACCCTGTACAGGGTTTCCGAGGCTGTAAATCTTTACGGAAGGAGAAAGCCTCATCTTTCTCCCATGGAGTGGCTGGTAGTTTCGAACTGCTGACCTTGTGGTTCGCAGCCCGATTCATAACCACTACGCTAATATTCATCAATAAATCTATGGTCTTCCTTATTCTCTGTCCAAGCTGCCCATGCATGCATATAAAGTTCATTGAAAATACCATGGCTTGGATCAGGCACATCTTAGTCCTCAAACTGACATCTTTGCTCTTGAACACTTTAAAGAGGTCTTGTGAAGCAGATTTGCTTAATGCAACATGTCGTTTGATTTCTTGGCTGCCACTTTCAAAAGATTGTGGATCCAAGCAAAGTGAAGACTGACAACAGCAACCTTTTCTCTATTTACTATGGCTTACCTACTGGGACAGTTGTGAGGATTTTTGTTTTCTTTACATTGAGGTGCAATCCATGCTGAAGGCTGTAGTCTTTGATCTTCATCAGGAAGTATTTTAAGTCCTTTTCACTTCCAGCAAACAAGGTTATATCACCTGCAAATTGCAGGTTGTTAATGAATCTTCTTCTAATCCTGATGCCATGTTTTCCTTCATATAGTCTAGCTTCTTGGATTATTTGTTCATCATACAGATTGAATGGGTATGGTGAAAGAATACAACGCTGGCAAACACCTTTCCTGATTTTAAACCATTCAGTATCCCCTTGTTCTGTTCGAACAATTGCCTCTGAGTCTCTGTACAGTTTCCTCATGAATGCAATTAAATGTTCTAGAATACCCATTCTTTGCAGTGTTATTCATAACTTGTCATGATCCCCAATGTCAAAAGCCTTTGCATAGATAATAAAGCACAGGTAGACATCTTTCTGGTATTCTTTGCTTTCAGCCAAGATCCATCTGATGTCAGAGATATGATATCCCACATTCCATGTCTTCTTCTGAATCCAGCTTGAGTTTCTGGTAGTTTCCTGTTGATGTACTATTGCAGCCATTTTTTTCATTGTCTTCAGCAAAATTTTACTTGTATATGATGTTAATGATATTGTTAGATGATTTTTGCATTCCATTCAGTCATCTCTCTTTGAAATGGACATAAATATGGATCTTTTCCTATCAGTTGGCCATGTTGCTGTCTTCTAAATTGTTTTTTGAAATATTTCAATTTGTATTCTGTCACTTCCTGGGGCCTGTCTTTACTAATGCCTTCAGTGCAGGTTGGACCTTCCTTTAGTACCATTGGTTGTTGATCATACGCTACCTTTTAAAATGGCTGAACATAGCCATAGTCAAATTCCTTTGGGCCACTTTGGATCAGTCTAAAGCTCTGCTCTAACTAGGTAACCAAGCTATTCAAAGCATTTTTAATCCCAGTCTCTGGTCTTGGCTCCTGGTGGTGCTATAGCTAACCACAAGGTCAATGGCTCAAACCCACCAGTGGCTTCATGAAAGAAAGATAAAGCTGTCTAGTTTTCCATACAGATTGACAGTTTTGGAAACCCTATATATAAGATCACCAAGAGCCAGAATTAACTAGATGGCATTTGGTCTGGGTCTTGGCTCCCTGGCCTACTCCATGACTCTCAAGGTCCTAGATTTCTCCCATCACTGCCCTTTAAGACTGCAGTCTCCTGAATCACCAAGGCACCCCCAGCACAATTTCCCAGCTCTGATCCATATACCCTAGTTCAACTCCTCATCCTCTTTGATTCCCAGGTTTGCAAATCAGTGATAGAGGACACTGTCTCGCCATCATATTCTGTATTTTAACAACAACAAAAAGACACTTTTGCAAAAAGTTTATTAGCCATCATTTTGTTTAAAGGTGTAGTAAGATGGACCTAAAAATGAACCTTAAGTTCAACTTGACAGCATTTAACTAAACTAATAATTAACCTTAGGTATGTGATGATTTTCTCAGCAGTAAAATATTTTGGTAAGTTAATCAACACCTTTGAAATTTATATTTAAAAAAGATATTACCATCAGTCAAACACTAAACAGATCTATAAAGGACTAGTTAGGTAAAGCATACTTTAGAGTAATCAGCCATTTGGGAACAAAAGGGCAGCATTTACCCAGCATACAGAAGGGTTAGAAAAAGAGGACTAGAAATAGGAAACGCAAAGAGGAAGTAGACTAAAATATGTTAATTACATTGTGGAGATTGCAGTCAATGAGCTAAAGTAAAATGTCCATGAATTGTTGAATGGAACACTGATCTGCTCTGTAAACTTTCACCCAATCCACAATAAAAAGTTAATACTTTAACCAAACAAGAAATAATGAGGAATACTGAGAAACTTTGTAGTGCTCTTGGTGTGCCGTCAAATCATTTCCGACTCACAGTAACACTGTATAGGGTTTCCAAAGCTGTAAATCTGTACAAGAGCAGAAAGCCTTATCTTTCTCCCATGGAGCAGATGGTGAATTTGAACCACTAACCCAGCAATTGGAATCCTGATGTGTCACTGTAGGATAAGCACTGGACCACAAGGTCATTTGAATTGCAAGGTCAGAGGTTCAAACTCATGAGCCGCTCCTCAGAAACCCTATACAGGGTCACTATGAGTTGAAACCAACTCGATGGCACTTAACAACAACAATACCGTTAGCAATGCAATGTGGAACCCACTATGCCACCAGGGCTCCAATATGTTCACTCGTTGTTGTTGTGTGGTTCCAAATCATAACAACCCTATATAGATTTTCCAAGGAATGGCTGGTGGGTTTGAACCACTGACCTTGCGATTAGCTGCCCATTGCTTACCCCACAGTTCTAAACCAGGACTCCAATATTTGCACTTGTCGTGTTGTTGTTAAGTGCCATCAAGTCAGTTCCAACTCTTAGTGGCCCTGTATAGTGTTTCCAAGGAACAGTTGGTGAGTTTGAACCACTGACTTTGCAGCTCAAATCAACCTTGCAGTCCAGTGCTTATCCTCCAGTGCCACACCAGAACGCTAATATTTGCACTGTTGTTGTTAAGTGCTGTTGAGTTGGTTCCAACTCAAAGCGACCCTGTATAGGGTTTCCAAGGAGCAGCTGGTGAGCTTGAACCGCCAACTTGCAAAATTTATTGAGCACTTATTCTGCATCAGACACTGTAGTAAGCACACTATATGCATTACTTTATTAAATACTCAAGACCATCCTATAAATGTTTTGTATCAAATATGGCCTCAGAAAGAAAAGTGCAATCAATGGGGGAACCGAGGTTTAAAGAAGGATCTACTTATATAAAAGTGTGGCCAGCCCTTTGAAGCAAAGCAGAAAGTTATAACCTCAAATGTGGTGGAGCCAAAAAATCAAACTGAAGCCTTCTGACTCCACAGCCAGCTCTGAAT